GCAAAAGGAACGGTAAGGACTCAAGATCTTAGCGAGGACGTTAACAGGCACGAGGCACAGCGAACGGCGGTCACAAAGACTGAACAAAATGGCAGACACTCCGTTCTATTTATACCACAAAGGGGGAGGGGAGCAGAGTTTTCCCGCCAAAAACCGTTAGCTTTTTCATTTTCCGGCCTAGGCACTGCTCAGGCACAGCACCCATATGTGTGATGCACAGAGGCCACGACGAAGAAGCTACAAATTGCCAGTCTGGCCTCCAGTTTCACCAGAAGGCTTGAAAAGCAAAAGTGATTATCTGGTTTACAACTTAACAATTTTCATTTTCTCAAAAGACAGGTAGCTGGTCCCTTCTTGGCTACAGGATACTTCAGCCTAATCAATCACTGTTTCTAGCTTCGTTTTGTGCATTTGTTTTTCTCCGCAGAAGTAAGCCACATTTTGCCCATCTACAAGCATATATGTATTTTACTTCCAAGTGATCGCTTGTGGAATGATATTGCAATAGGTAAAGTATTTCAAAGTAATTTAACGTAATATATATTTCATTAGTCATATATTTTATTCATTGTGGTTGTTTCTAACATGATTAATAGTTTTCACTGTTTCTGCCTTTTTTAATTCAATGTATCTGACGATAAAAGTTAATAAAAAGTTCTCTTCATTTTTGGTCAGTTACTTAAAATAGTGTTTCCCAAAATTAAGACTGCTTCCAAACTATTTGTTCCTTCAACATTTAGAGACAAGTTCAAAGCAGCATCTGTAGGACCTCAGTGACTACCTTGCATTGGAGTTATGTGTGCTTGGGTGGTGAGTGAGTATCAAGTGCATTGACACAGACATGGCAAGCAAAACCAAAGGAAGCGTTCAAGAAGGAAATTCTCCCATGCAAGCTCCAGTGAAAGGAAATGCCAGATGATTATGAAAGCCAAGACAGATACAGGAAACTCCAATAAAAAGCACCACTGTGCTTTTGCAGAGTTCCCATTCAGTTTAATAGAACATGAAAAACACAATGTCCCTCTGGTTTTGCCCACAAAGCCTGGTTTTGTCCACACAGCCAGTTATGCATTAGCTAGTCTACCTGTCTTGGAGAACAGGGTGAGCAACTTGCAGCTCCCTAGATTTTTTAAGCCTGCAATTCTCATCAGCCCTAACCAGCATGGGCCATGATGTGGGAGAATAGGAGCTCTGGATAAAACCTTCTGGGGGAACGTAAGTTCCCCATACCTGATGTAAAATGAGGTATTACATTGATCAGTGAGGAAGAGCAGCATTTTTAAATTCTTCTCAAGTAAGCAGTTATATGCAAGCTAAGTGTATCAGGGAAGCAATGCTATAGCTGTTCCCTCATAAATGATTTTTGTTGTTTTACATGCAAGGAATTTCTTCTAATGTGGGTAGCACTGAACAATGCACCTCCCATCTGCCACTGACAGAACAGCATTTTAGCACTTTATTCTACACACACACACACGCGTACGTGCACGCTGTTACAGAGTATCCCTCAAATATTGCATTACGTACTGCCTGGCCCCTTTCACACCTAATTTGTAACTTAAAAACTAGGAACTTGCTTTTCATTTTGCTTGAAGATGCAAAATCCTCAGGGCATTATAGTATTAAATTTGTGATTTTGCTGTGCTTGCATGAAAATTGCCATAATGCACTGTTATCTGGCAAAGGTAAAGAGTTGGACATTTAGATAACTATGATTATCCTGGTTTCCAATCCCTGAGTATGACAGCAATAAAGAAAAATAGTTTAATGTACAATCTAGATAATGCTTTGTATCCAGTGCTACCTCTTCTTACACCAGGAGCGATGACTAACTCAAGTCCCAGTCATTTCAATGGATCTATACTAAGTGGGAATAATATTGGCTACAACCCAATGTTTCCAAAATGTAGCTACTGAGGCTGAAAAGTGACCATTGAGGGAAGTCAGAGGAAGAAGATTGTTCTTTCCTTCCCAACATGTAAAAATAAGGAATTTTCTAGAATTCAGGCCATTAACACTTTCCAATGCACTTAGCAAGGGCAACTTTTGCTGCGAGCTATCCAGAGACAAAAGTGATTGGATGGGCTAGAAATATCCCAATTAATTAAGTAATTAATGGGGCCATTATAGACCAGGAGATGGGATTGTTGTCGGTGGTGTTGTTAGTCTCGAAACCAACCCATCGCGACCCCATGAACCATGAACAACATTCCTCCAGGCCTTCCTGTCCTCCACCATCCCCAGGAGTCCACTTAAGCTCATGCTGCCTGCTTCAGTGACTCCATTCTCTGCCATCCCCTTCTTTTGCCATCAATTGTTCCCAGCAATCGGCTCTTCTCCAGTGAGTCCTTCCTTCTCATTAGCTGGCCAAAGTATTTGAGTTTCATCTTCAGTATCTGGCCTTCTAAAGAGCACTCCTCTAGGACTGACTAGTTTGATCGCTTTGCAGTCCAAGGGACTTGCAGGAGTCTCCTCCAGCACCACAATTCAAAGGCCTCAATTCTTCGGTGCTCAGCCTTCCTTATGGTCCAACTTTCACAGCCATACATTGCAAATGGGAAAACCACAGCCTTGACTAAACTCACTTTTGTTGGCAGGGTGCTCTCTTTGCTTTTTAGTATGCTGTCTAGATTTGCCATAGCTTTCCTCCCAAGGAGCAAGTGTCTTTTAATTTCTTGGCCTCAGTCCCCATCTGTGGTGATCTTGGAGCCCAGGAGAATAAAATCTTTCACTACCTCTATTTCTTCCCCATCTATTTGCCAAGAAGTGATAGGACCGGATGCCTTGATCTTAGTTTTCTTATTGTTAAGTTTCAAGCCAACTTTTGCACTTTCCTCCTTCACCCACATCAAGAGGCTCTTTATTTCCTCTTCCCTTTCTGCCATTAGAGTGGTATCGTCTGCATATCTGAGGCTGTTGATATTGCAATCTCAATTCCAACCAGTGATTCATCCAGCCCCGCCTTTCTCATGATGTGCTCTGCATATAAGTTAAATAGGCAGGGTGACAGTATACAGCCTTGCCGAACTCCTTTCTCAATTTTGAACCAATCAGTGGTTCCGTGTCCAGTTCTCACTGTTGCTTCTTGACCCACATATAGGTTTCTCAAGAGACAAATAAGATGGTCTGGTACTCCCATCTCTTTAAGAATTTGCCACAATTTGTTATGATCCACACAATCAAAGACTTTAGCATAGTCAATGAAGCAGAAGTAGATGTTTTTCTGGAACTCCCTAGCTTTCTCCATGATCCAGCATATTTCGGCAATTTGATCTCTAGTTCCTCTGCCTCTTCGAAATCCTGTCTGTTCAGTGGTACCTTGGCTCACGAACTTAATCTGTTCCAGGACTCTGGTCATGACCTAAATTGGTTGTGAGCCAAGTTAAATTTCCCCATAGGTTCAGTGTAAATAAGGTTAATCCATTCTGTAACCATTTTTTAAGTCAGAAAAATGTGAAGCAAAGTGACATCAAAAAGATCGCAGCCATCTCCCCCCTCCCTCCCTGAGCACAAGTGCGGCCATCTCCCCGCCACCCCAGCACAACCGAAATCATGCCTGTCAACCCCGCATGAATGAGATCACGCCTGTCATCCCTGCAGGTGCCTGTCATCCCAGCAAGCTGGGAGTGGCGGGAGAGATGGGCACGATCGCGGGCACACTAGGGGAGGAAGAGACAGGTGCAAATAACGTGCCGGCTGACTGACAGATGCAAATGAGGCATGCTGGGGGAGGGAGAGACGGGTGCAAATGGGGCGCGCTGCGGGTGGAGAGATGGCCACGATCATGCCGGCTGAGGGGTAGGGATGGCCGAGATTGCGCCTGTCTTTCCTGCAGGAGCGCGCCTGTGATCACACATGCCTTCCCTGCACAAAAGCAACTGCAATCGCGGCCATCTCCCCCCCCCCCCCCCCGAATGGGGAGATGGCCACAATCCGCAGTTCCAGGCGGAGCACAGCACAGCCACAGGGGAGATGATGATGATGATGATCATGATGATGATAACATTTCTATGGCGCCCCTTGCCGAAGCCTCGATAGCACTCCACTGAGGCGGGGGGCAGAGATGGCTGCGATCTCTGTCACCACCCAATGCGGAGTTTGCAACCCAAGTCAAAATTTTAATGAAATTTTTGTTAATGACCCGATTTGTTCGTGAACCAAGGCATTCGTGAGCCAAGGTACTACTGTACTTCTGGTAGTTCTCGGTCCACATATTGTGAAGTCTAGCATGTAGGATTTTGAGCATAACTTTGCTAGTATGTGAAATGAGTGCAATGGTGCGGTAGTTTGAGCCTTCTTCGGCATTGCCCTTCTTTGGGATCGAAATGTAAACTGACCTCTTCCAATCCTGTGGCCACTGTTGAGTTTTCCAAATTTGCTGGCATACTGAGTGTAGCACTTTTACTGCATTGTCATTTAGGATTTTGAATAGCTCACCAGGAATACTGTTGCCTCCACTATAACTGCTAATTTACTTTAAGATTGCAAGTGTTCTCGTTAAGAAAGACGATTTACAAGATACTGAAGATATTGTCTCTCTTCATTTTATGCTGACATTTTCTGTCAGTCTTCTACAAAGTCACCATCCTCTCCAAGTCCCAGAACCTAAGCTGGCAGAAGAAACACCACAGTACGGATAACTTTTGGATAGCTAGCACTGTCATTTTAAAAGGTCTATATCACCATGCTCTCCATCTGTCACCAAACCCACAGGCAGAGTCAGTGGAAAGCCTGAACTTGCATGAAAGATAGAAAGATATTCTGGCTATCAATGATCTTTACTCCAGTTTAAATATTAGATCACAGAAGACATTTCAAGAAAACTAGGTATTTGTAGTTATACAGAACTTTTGTATTTTCACTGCATCATATACTGAGAGAAATCAAAAAGCTTTTCAATGCCTACATAAATCCATAATTCAGTTACCAAAATCTAAGTTAGTCTGAGTCATTCCCCACAAAATTAACATGAGCTGAAATAAGGATCGAATTATACTAACCTTTGCATCCACTTCAGGATCATCAAAAAATCCTTCTGGCAAGGCCTCTGCAGTGTTTTCTCTCCTGAAATATTAAGGTGATAACAAATGCTGACTGTATCTGTTATAATTCTCCAAAATGTATAACAACGAATGAAAAGTTTGCACTGAGAACAGAATGAGTTGTGCTATCTAGGTGTTTTTCAGACAGAATAAGAAGGCGGCTACTACAGTTTGATTACGACAGGCCTTCAAGATCCAATAAAGTCTAAAAAAAACCAGCTTCAAGATACCATATCCAAAGTTCTTTAGATAAATGCCTTAGTAACTACCAACTTAAATAACTACCAACACTGTTTAAATTAGATGTACTGCTTCATCTCAGGCTGTGCCTTTAAAAAAGTGCCAGAACACTAGATATATTGTGGACCGTTGCCTACGTGAGAGCCTACATGCATTTAATGGATGCATGCATTTTGTTGGTAAAACCACACAGACAAAAGTACTATTCAGGATGTTTGCAAGAAGGAAGAGACAAGCGTTTGCACTGATTTTTTGTTTTTACCTTTCCACCAACTTTTCTTGTACTTCTGCTTTCTGTATAGAGCCAGAATGGAAGACTAGAGGTGTGACTAAACCCTTGTTTTCCACATAGCCTGCAAAACACAGTAGTAGCACTTAAAATAAAACAAAGTACTAGCTGACTAATATGTACAATGTTCAAAAACCCAAACTACTAACATGGATATATAAGGAGAACAGAAGCCAGCAATAGGGAAGAAGTTTAAACTGAAACCTACCGAGAAGGGAGAAGTACATATGGGGGTAACAGTGGACAAAGACTTATGCACCAACAACAGAGAAAGCAGCTCTAATTGCACTCAATAACAGTCTTCCAAAAAATGTAGGACATACACTAGACTATACAGCATGGGGTTTTCAGTGACTATATATCAATCCCAAAGTATGAGGGATGAACAGCATGAACTTGAACTCTCAATATAGGATGGTGAATATAACCTGATAGGTGAAACTGAAACTTGGTGAATAACCCCTGTGACTGGAATTCAGCAACTGAATTCTTCAGGAGCAGAAAAAGAGGCAGAGCTACTTTATGTTAAAGATACAGATCTCTGCACATAAACAGAGGAGGATGAGTTTAATAGCATCTGGAAAAATATAAATAAAAGGGACACTGTGGTTGGGATCTATGACCAACCATCCAGTCAAGAAGAAGATGAGGATGAAACTTGAAAAGCAAATTGCCAGTGTTTCAATAGTAAACAACTTCTGCATCTCCTTACTTTGAAAACCTTAAGATAAAAGCCCAAGATTTAAAAATGGCAAAACTAGTTAATGCAAAATGCTGACATGAATGATGGTACTATTTCCCCAAAATAAATGAATATTTTGCTCATCTGATTTGCATCCAAGCTTTTTCCCACAATGTACAACAAAACATGTTCCAAGGTTACCTGATGGTAAAGCAACAGCAGTTTCTGCTCTTTGAGCAGAGACTGGAGTTGCTGTACTCTGAACTGAGAATGTCAAAGGAAGTTTGCTGTTATTGTTTTTTATTTCTTTTTCTAGCTCTTCTTCCTCCTCTTCCTCCTCCTCATAGTCTCCTAGTAGTAAGTTACCACTTGTGGATTTTGAAGATAGCCCCTTTGCTTCTGCTTGTTCGATTTTGCCAAAGAAATCTTCAGGCAACCTAAGAAAATTGAGACAAACAATGCCTTAAAAACTCAGTTACAATATAAGCTGGAATCGCAGCAACTATTCAGGCACACCTAATGCAATTTTGACTTTGCTCCTGAAAGGCAGAGACACCATTGCCAAATCCACAATTAAAGAAGAAGGCTAACAAGAAGTGCAGAATGAGTCACAGAGTTCTTTGAATCCAGGCTATAAGGTCTCGACATCCAATTTTTCTGAGCAACAATTTTGAAATTCTAATAGTGACCTACCCTTCAAAATGGTCATAAAGATTACTCAAAATGTAATGAAAAATTTTGAATGTCCCAACTATAAAATCTTCCATACAACCATAAAACAATATCGGCAAATGAGCTAAATTGCTTTGAAATATGTAGATGAAAGCATTATATAAATACTAATTTGTCAATAAATAGATGAATTGCTTGGGGCAGATGCCTCCATGCAGCTTGTTAACAGAAGGCCTCAGATAATGGCTGCCAGAGTATGGAAGGAACATCCCACTTGAAGCAATGTTCACTGCATATCAACAGCTTGCCACATGGACACATACAAACTAGCTCTTGTTTTAATTTCAATTTCCTCTGTTTGACTCTGCATACTTAGTGAAGGAAACACCTAACCTATGGAAGAAAGCTGATAAAAAATATCCAGCTTACCCAGATGAGACAGTTTCTGGATGGTCACCAGAATCTGAAATACAGAAATGCATCAGAGTTGTGTTAAATTTTCAAAACAACGGCCAAGATGAATTGCACATGTAATGAGATGCTAAACTATGATGGTCCAGTTAAGTATCTTAGGCTAATGCAGATACACTAGCATCCTTATAAAGTGAATGGGAGCATTGACTACACAATTTTATGCAATTCATTATAAGGTATTTCTATATTTCTTGTCAGGTACACAGGTTTATACAACAGCTGAAATACCATGAAACTGCCACTTTCCCCAGATCAGCTTTCCCCATTTCCACTCTACCTCTACCCACATTAATGGATTCTAAGATTGTTGTAAAATGCCATATATGCTGTTACCGAAGTAGTACCAAACGGAATAATTAGATGGAATCAGTACTAGTATACACAAAGAAAATGCACTCTTTTCAACACTCTCCAAATATACTGAATATAGAACTAAACCAACTAAACTATCAGCTTCATAGTAACTGTAACCAGATTAAGCACACATTGAATCCTTAATTTAGAAAATACTTCATGGCTTTGTTCTGTTGAAATATGAATTACCTAGTTATTAATTTTAAACATGAAAAACCTTCTTCAGATTATATTATCAGACCCTTGAGTGCAACAACACAATGAAGTCATTAGCATATAACAGCAATGGCACCCAGATGGAAACCACTTTTGAAGGATGGGAGGGTGATGGTCTGGACATTTGTGGAGAAGGCAAAAAAGAAAAATCCTAATATTATCTTTGATCCAGTGGGAGGTCACATGACACAAAGGGGAATTCCTTTTTTTATTTCAAGAGTGTGAAGGAAACAGGGATTATCTGAAACTGACCACAGTTTACAAGACTGGCTCCTGCAAGAACTGGCCAGGTCCCTTTCTTTGTGCAGAGGGACTGCCATGGAGAAAAAAAGTGTATGGGACAAGGGTCAGTGTCATTCCAGAAGGTGGTGCAGCTTCAGAGCAAGACACTCCCTCTTGACATCATCCAGTACATAACTTTAGTCTAGGGGAAAATTTGGCCCCAGACTAAAAGAGGTTGCCCACTTCAGAATTAAATAATATTGATGCCAACACACAGCATTGTGTCATGTAACTGGAGAAGATATTATTAGATGCTTTCCTCCCTGGAATGGCATGGAATTTGTAAAGTCACTGAATACAAATTTTCAATCAAAAAAGTAAAAGTATCTCAGCTATAAAATAATTTTAAGCTTTTCCCATAACTGCAGTCTAGAAATAAAACCAAGAGCAGTTTTAAGATAAATAAATGTGGAAAAATATTTCTAAGCATGTTGCCAGAAGTATTTTTCAGCTAGATTTCTATAACTACAAGGATCTAGTACAAAGTGACTGATTTATCTTCTAATATAATCCTAATATATTCAGTTAAATAAGACTCAGGACTTGGTTTTTTTAAACTGCCAGACTACATATTTTTTTACACTTGCAGACAACAGCTAGAAAGGTCAGTCTATTTTCCACCTGTTCAAATATGGTAGTAACTATAATCCTCCATGAATCTGATACTATCCCTTCAATTTATAAACACACAGAACTATTGCAAGTGTGGTGTCAGGGCCTGGCTTTTACCCAATTCTTAATGGGAAAATCAAGTTTTCAACTTCTTCAATATGTTCTCAATATCCATTGATGTATTACACTCCACAAATTTGACTGATCAGATTCAAGCAATAATTTCCCCAGATTTTAGTCCAGATATTATGGGCAAAAATGTCAAAATATTTACCTAGCATTTCCAATATTGTTCTCCAAAAGCTTAGGCTATGATTGGACCCAAAGGTATTCCAAAGTAATGCCCATTTCTCTTTTTCAACTTGCTGCATTTTATCTATCAGAGGGCCTTTGCTCTATTATTTAGCTGGTAAAACTCTTATAAAATTCCCACATCGTAGTGCCAGTAAGAGCCTTGATTGATATTTAAGAGGGACAGAATGCTCATCATATGGTGTCTCCTGTCAAAGTGCAGCAGTCACCTAGGGAGGCTGCAAATATCTATTTTTCAAATTTTCTACCTTACAATCTCTTGACAGCAGGCATGTCATAAATTAAGTTCCATCAATTAACACTTGATCTTACATGCAACTAGCAAAGTTTGGATCCAACCATTTTAAATTTGAATGTATGTTTGAACTTAAAACATACCAGAAATATTTCAGATGGCACAACATAACTTTGCATACCTTTCACTTTCTTCGCTGGAAGTTCTGCATTTGTAATTTTCCTTTTGAGTGAAGATGAGGTATTAGGAATGGAGCCTGCCACTGACTGCTTAAGTTCCTTTAATTGTTCAAGTTTCTGGAATGGGAAATGAAAACGGGCAAATAAATACCTGTGCTCTATTCACAAGGATTAAAGTATTACTACATAGTGGAAGTGGCTTTTGTTTTTTGTTTTTTGTTTTTTTTTTGGCAAATAAATATCAAAAAAGTAACAAGAAAATACTTTTACAGAAATTAGGTTGCAATTCTATACATAGTAGAGGTGTATAGGCCTGCACTGTAAGACTACTTAGAATATATACAAGTTTCTGTTTTTTGACATAATGACCTACTAGGCAAACAATTCTAGTTACAACATTTTATAAAGAAAAAACCACGTCCAATTTAGAAGAACATTGAAACTGAAGGACACAACACTGACAGATTTGCATGATCATTGCAACTTGTCATTACCTTTTTAAGCAACAATGAGCTGCAGAATCCAGAGACACTATCCTGAATATTCCAGCCTTGGCCATAGCTTGCCATGTCATCCAAAGCTAGGGCCCATGAGTTATGGATGGGTTAAACAACTCTTTCAGAAGCCTTGGCCTGTTTTATGGTTATGTGAGGATTGTTTAACCCTTGCATAACCCATAGGCCTCAGGTCTGGAAAACATGACAAGCTGCAGTTGCAGCCTAAATATCTAAAAATGGTCATCAGTGCATGCTGCAACCCACCAGGGCTTAAATAAGCCACAATGGGGTGTATGATTGAGCAAAATGATCTACTGCTATACTGCAAAAGGATATCAACATAAAGGTCTGTCAATGTCAGTTTCTATACTGCTAAATCCATAATCTTGCATATTGTCCCTTCCAAACAAAACACCACAAAAATTCTAGGGTTGACAAAAGATTCAATCCAAATTTAAACATCTTTAGAACAGACCCTTTCAATCAATGAGACTAACATTAAACTAACAGATCTATTTGAAGTTTGTCTAAATTTGGTCCAAGCCCATCAGATTACCTGTTTTTCAAAACTGAACCACTAACTGTAATTCATTTACTGTGCCCTTATACATTTCTTTTCTATCCATCTGCTATGCTCTGGGCTAGACAGACTCTTTACCACTTAACTAAAGAGACTTGCCTTTTGATTATTTGAATGTTCTCTTAGACCAGAGGTAAACAATTCCAAATGGATTATAAATACTATAAGATACAGCCAGCATTACTAATGATTGAACTTATAATAGTTGTAAAGCGAACCATGTGGAACACCAAGTAATCTACTCTTGATTTAAATAAATCATGCACTATATACTTTATTATTTTAACCAACTAGTAGTAAAAGCTATAGTTTAATAGAGTGGATCAAGTCCATGCATAGTATTATTAAAGAACTACTCTTATTCTTGAACCATCACAAAGAAGACATAAAGTAATGACAAGTAGCACAACATAGGAATTACCTCCTTGTGCTGCTTCCCAAGAGCATGTGTTTGCCACAACAGCTCGCTCTTCACAGGCACACTGCACAGAGAGCAGCTTAAATTCCCCAAACTGTTGTATGTGGAGAATGGAGTTAAGGAAATTTAAAAACAAGTCTCTTCTCAAAACCACAATTTCAAGCTAAACTACTATTTGTGTCTATGTAAACACATACCATAGGCTTTTAAAATACACATACCCCTGAAATACATTAAAGGAATGATTCGATGGCCTACAGATAGCATCTAGAGGATTGTAAGATACTTTGGAATCCCAGGTACAAGCTCAGTGGCAGCATTCTAACCCTGGAGCTGGGAAACCATGTTCTGACCCTCTACCAGAGCTCACAACTGGCATGAAAAGTAGCCTGGTGGCTGCCTCTCCAATGTTGCAAATCCAACTGTGAAGAAGAGGTAAAGGGAGTGTTCAGGTGGATAAGGAGGGGAAGAAACTGAAGATGCCAGTGTATGATGTGACTTCTGTCCTCTGCAGCCTCCTTTCCTCCCCCTCAGAAGCAGCTCAGCTGGACAGTCAAAAACAGCCACCTAGGAAAGATATGGAGCAGGAAGGTAGAGACAGCCTCCTCTACGCCTGCCACTCTGTACAGGATGTCCATAAGCCTCTGAGCTTGGCAGCTTATGAACATCCCCACTTGGACTGTGCCTTAGCAGGTTCCCACTGACAAAAGCCCCTTGGAGCTGCTCCTGCTCTTTGCCCCCTCCAATCTGTCTGTTCAGCTGCTTCTCACTCTGGCCCCAAACAGCACAGAAAGCAGCAAAGTAGAAGCCACTGCCTACTTAGTGGCCCCCTGCCAGTCAAGCAAACAAGCAGTCGGAATCATGAGAAAACGGGTGAATGACGAGAGCAGCTGGTGACAATGGGAGAAAGTAGGTTCACAGAGGGAAGGAGGTGATTGAGGGTGTCTTGCCCAAGGCCCCTGAAAAACCTGGAGCCAGAGCCAACTATCATCTTCCCCAGTCTAATATAATGCACACCACAGGTCCTGCTTGCTACAATGGAAGAGAGATAGAACAGCAAAAAAGACGAAGGATCCCGGAGAAGACTCGTTCAATCAGAAGCGTTCTGCAAGGGCAGTAACCGACTCAGTGTGAACACACACCCTCGTGAGAAATGGCTTCACTTAAATTTCCACCTACTCGACCGCCCTTTTTGCTTTCGAGCCCTTTTCTACAAAATGACCGAAGTGACGCATCAGTTATGGCTCTAGGTGCACGGAGCGAAGGAAGAGCAACACGCGCACATCAAGCGGTCAGGCCGTCCCGCTCATCTCAGAACAAGCCATGGAAGGGGGCGAGAGACCGCCGGGCTGGGGCAGGGCTGCTTTCGAAAGCGCGCAGTCCACCTTTCCGCTCTGACCGACATAAAAGTGTCGCGAGAAGTGAGGCGCGAGCAAGGCGGCGCAGGATATCTAGCGAAAGACGAATCGACTTTCTTCTTCTTCTCCGCCGCCGTCTCGCGCTGCTTCAACCGCATCAGCCGCCGCAGCTCCTCCTGCCCCACCACCGCACCCGCCGGACGCCGCTGTGGCGGTGGCTTTCCGGTCGCCTTCGAAGTTGCCATAGCCCGCTTTCCTTCCCCGAACAATCTGTCTGGCACAGAAGGCGCACTCACTATTGCGTCATAAAAGCGATAAGCGGAGAGTTTGCGTCAGCTTATAAAAAATAGTTCCGTCCAGAGGCTGAACTTTGCAGCAACCATAGAGATTGGAAATGTATAGACAATTGAATTTTCCGTAGTTAGCGCTTCCGGATTCCTTTGGTTCTTTCGCGGCTGACAGGCGGAGAGCCGCCCATGGGAAAAGAATCAGTCCACGCATGTCTAACGAGCTAAGACTAAAGGAGGACTAGCAGCAAAAGGATGAGGCCCTGCTTTAACTTAGGTCTTCTTTCATGTGGAAAATGTGCTCTTGCTGTTGAAGAAAGTAAAATAAATAGCCCTTCCAATGCCAATCTATTTGTTGCATATCCCTTAAAAGGTAGTTCATTTAATATTACAGGACAAAGATGACCCTGAAGTTGGATTGGATTTACAACCCAAATTCCTCATTTAAAATGCCCGTCATAATGCAACAAAGGCCAGCCTTTGTACTTTTAACTGCCATGCTTTCCCTCTATGGATGGGTTTTTCATTTGCCATTGCTTTTTACTGTCTTCAGTTGTTGAACTAGGATATAGGAAATCACATTACCTAGCTGGACCACTGGTACACTCACTGGTAGTGGCTCCTCTGAATTTTCAGACTTAAGTTTTTAGGAGCCCTACCAGGGACTGAAACTGAGGCCTTGGCATACAACTCGCACACACCACCACTGTGCTGAAGTCTCTTCCCTCAAGTGTATTTAGGTATTGGTAGCTGCCTTAAGGAAAGGAGTAGAAAGATGGGATATATTTTTCTCCCAGTCCAAATCCAACACTCAATTATATGCAAAAGCCTTGAGATATAACATAAAAAAATGTTGGGAGTGTCTGAGGGACATTCCCTGACTCGAGGAAGCAGCCAAAGGAGGAAGAGAGGTCCAGAAGACAAAAGAACAGGTGGTTAAGAAGAAGGGTGTTACAGAACGAGCTAGCCTGACCTCGAGTACAGTAATCAAAGGGACAGTGGAAACTGGTTATAGCCACCATGAAAGTTTCAAATGTGTGGGGAGTAAGAACATGACAATCCTGTGTGAATCTCGAGCAGACAAGAAATAGACATGGGAAATGTCACACCCTTGACAGAAGAAAGGACTCTTTGAAGCTAATAGCAGTAGGGGTGTGGTTACATTGCTGTATTGATGCATTAGATGTGTATTAGGTGACCTAATCGCTTATGTAGGGTATAAAATGCATGTACTGGGGTGCAACTTTTGAGAAACTGTTTTGGGCTGTGTATTCCCTTTTGTCTCCCTTTATTCTATAGTGCACTAGAAAGCTGGTTTGGCTCTAAGTCTTGTCTCAGACTTGAGACTTGAGGTCTGGGGTCCACCCAGGTTCGCCCAAAGCTGTTGACTGGCTGTGTTTGGTAACAAACTCTTAAGGCATTTTTGTCTGCATATTGTTTAGGGACTTTGCAACAGGTAATTTTTTGTTGATAGATGACATCTCATTTGCAAAGCTGTTTAATATCTCTACTTTAAGAATTACAAATAGTGTAAACTGACCTTGGCATGAAAATACTAGCTGGGGGAACTTTTGTGCTTAATTGTGCCTTTCGAATTGAGAAGAAGGATAATGGTGCTTTTCGAACAGCTGAGACCTGAGGCTGTGATTTTGGGTGCGATCCAGATATTCAGGCATTTGTTTCTCTGCTTTGAAAGCAGTATTCTTCTACTTAATTTTGCAGTTGTAAATTGTTTGATGTTTTTATTCAAGATTCCTGGACATTATAAATTGACCTTGGCTGAAACTTCCACCACAGATGTTTCTCTCCCCATTCATCACCATTTTTAAAGGAGTTGCTGGATGTTCAAGCCAGGTGACTTTTTGTTGTTGTTTTTTATCTAAACTATACATGATTTGCTCTAAGGAATAATTATATCCTCCTGATGGGACTTGGGGGGTTTTCGCTGGTTCTGGTGTGCCTTAAGAATAAAAAATA